ATATATATATATATATATATATATATATATATATATATATATATATTATATATATATATATATTTATATATATGTGTTTATATATATATATATATATATATATGTATATATATATATATATTTATATATATGTGTATATATATATATATATACTATATATATATATATATATATATATATATATATATATATATATATATATATATATATATATATATATATATATATACATATATATATATATATATATATATATATATATATATATATATATATATATATATATATATATTATATATATATATATACATATATATAATATATATATATATATATATATATATATATATATATATATATATATATATATATATATATATATATATATATATATATATATATATTTATATATATATATATACGCCTTTTGAGCACTAATTTTTATTTTTCCAAAATAAAAAGTACAAAACGCGTTAGGTCAAAACAAATAAATAAGTTAATAATAACAATACTTATAAGAAATAAGGTATGATAATAAACTGATAATAAACTATGCTGATAATAAATAAAGAGAGAAGACGCGCAAATATAAATTTTATACAAATCGGGTCATTGTTTTAATTCTTATTATAGCTAAAAAATAATTTATTTTTCATCAACAGTTTCAAGTTTTTTTTCTTAAAAAACTAGGGCTAAAAATATCCGGAAAAGTTTCCGAGTTGAAAATATCAGCGCAAATTTCAACCCTAAAAAAACTATATCAAGTACCTTGCTTTGTCTCGCACTATTTTATAAGGCTTTTATTATGCGGTGTAGATATTTTTGATCACTAGATAAAGTTTTTAAAGTATCTTTATTAATATCGAATAAAATAGTTTCAACAAATATATTTTAAATTGTATTAGTGGAAATTTTGAGATAATTGGCAATAATGTCAAATTACCAATATTACCAGTAAATTTGTTGAATAAAGTTGTTTTTTTGTCAATAAATAATAAAAAAAGTTTTGAAAACAACAAGTAGTTTATTTTTGGGCAAGGCAAAAACTACCCAAATAAGTATGGTTTGAGGTTTTTTTCTTAAAAAAAAATGTATACTACCTCCTTTCCAGCCGAAAAAATCATTATTTGAATATATGCATGTGATTTATCATCAAAAATTTACGTATAATAATTAGAAACCATTTACCTGTATTAACATTGGTAGAATCACAACCAACAGCAATTAGAATTGATTTTTATCGTGTTCTATAATCCATTTATGTTCTGCTATGCGATATGCTGAGGTTATAAACTCAGATCTATTTTCTTTGTCATTTGCAAAATAGTTTAGATACAAATCAACTGGCTCTGCACAAACAGAGTAATGGTTTTTTGTATAAGTCTGTGGTTAAATTTTTCATCTTCTCCAATTAAAGAAAATTTTGTCTCGTTCTTTCTTTCATCAAACATTTTGCATTAAAATCCATCTTTTTTTAACATATTGCCATTTTTAGACTCTATTTGTTCCATAACTTTCAATTTAGAGTCTTCAATTTTTTTTTCGATCTGTCACTATTTCACTGCCAGCCACATTCTTTTTTAAAAAAAAACCTGTTTCTTTAGCTGCTTGTAATGTTAGTGTTGAAATAGCAGCAGTTGCTCTACTTGATACACATAACTACACATACATTTTAATGACGCTAAAGCAATTTTTTTATTATTCTTTTAAGTCTTTTTATGTATTGAGAACTATCAACGGAAACAACAACTTCATTTTCTGTAATCTCAATATAATCGACATTGGTTTCGTTTTCTTGAGAATGAAAAGATGATTTTTATATTGGTGACTTTTTTCCAGTTTCCTTCCTTATATTATTTTTTTCTCGTCCGTTTCATGGGCGTGTACAGAAAATTTATTAATCAAGTCCAAAAAAAACATGCGCCCCTCCACGCTCATTTTTTATTTTAACTCCCTTTTTGGCGGATTGAGTGTATTTTAAAAAAGCTATGTAAAAATGTTTAAACAAATCATTAAAAAAAGTTCTTTATATAAAAATACAAGCTATCGCATTGTTGGAGATACAAAAATGAAAAAACTGGGTTCAAAATCTTTATTTAAAAACAGTTTAATGCTAAATAATGTTTTTACAAAGAAGTGTGGCTATGAAAATAACCGTTTAACAAAAACATTTCTTTAAATATAGTTGTATTACTCAGAACTTTATTTAAAACCAATCGATAATTGCTTACACTAAGATAATAGCTGTTTCAATATCTATAGATAACTCCGTGTGAATATTCATCAAAGCTAAGGCAATAAACGGTTTTTTACCATTGTGCTTCTCATTTAGACGTCGAAGTAAAGAAAAGATTCGCTCACATTCACAAGTTGTTAAAGATAAGGTAGCGAGTGACTTATGACAAATTTTAATGTTTTCAAATGCAGAAAAGTTTATTATTTTTAATGTTTCGGTAATAATAGATGGTAGCACATTTTTAAACTTTAACCAGTATGCTTACCACAAATTGAGCTCACCTAAAAAGCAATTGGATTTGGTAAGTCTGTTAAGTAAAAGTTACTAAATGTTCTTTCCAATTAGCTCACTAGAACTCTGAACTTCTGCGATCATTTTTGAAGGAACTGAGACAAGTGCTTTGTAATATCTTAAAGTTGTATTATCAAATCTTGTGTTTAACTCAGTAGTAAGATGATCTAGAAATGAATAGGTTCTGAAGGAGCGTTGGCTCTGTTTTTCGCAATTAGTGAAGTTCTTTGGCTTTTCCTCGGTAACATTAAGTTTTGTGTGCTATTTCCAAAGCTTGTTCATAACACATTTGATGGTATTGACCAACTATATTTCTCAGCGAAGACACAACATCTCTTAATACCAAAATAAAATTTAAACCATTAAAAACATTGTTGCTATTTGCCTACAACAACCGTGTAATTTGAAGAGTTATATCAAAATCATTTCTTGTTATACACAGTGCAACAATAAAATTAAAACCTGTTATTAACCTCAGTAGATAGGGAGAAGTAGCAGATGATGAATAATATGTTGAGCTGTCTTAATGACCTCTTATAGAAAGACCAGGGCGCCCGCAGAGAATAATTTTTTCAATAATTGGTAACAATAACTTTCAATTATCAAAATTCTGCGTTTGAATTATTTTTTGAGAGGCTATATCAATTGGTTGTGTTTTAGAAGTCCAAAAACATAATTGAAAAAAAAATTCTTCAGCAGTTCTAACATGTAATCCTTTTTTTCTGCAGACAACTATTATATATTATTGCTAAACTTAATAGTAGTGGGCTTTCGAGCCTGTTTGACACGGTACCCTTGGCAGCCATTGCAACCGAGGTAATGGCGAGAAAGAGTCGCAGGGCTTTGTTTTATATGAAAACGTGAACGATCGCGTATCCAAATATCTAACGTGCGTAAACTTTAAATTAAGTAATGTCAAAACATATGTTAAAGCATACTGAAACATTTATCAAGTTTTAGAGTTTGATTTTCACTTGAAAACTGCTATGAGTCGAGCTCTCCTTAATTTTGATCTATAACATTTTTCTTTAAAAAAAAATCATTATAATCAATCAATCAATCAATCAATCAAATCAAATATATTCAGAAACAAGTTGTTTCACGTTTAAAGGATATTTACAGTAGTACGAGTACTAATATAAAGCAAATACCTTATACAATATATCAATATAGACATTTAGAAATATATTAATAGTAATAATAATATTATATTAAGTGTAAATTAGTTTTATATAAATTATATTAGTGAAAATACTACTAACAATTAAAACAACAGTAAACATTAAATCAATATATATATATATATATATGTATAGCAATAATAAGTAATAATGATACTAAAATAGAAAATAAAACTAAAAAAAAAATAATAAAAAAAGTTAATTTTACTATTATCTAAAAACAAAATAAAAATGATAAGAATAATAATCATAATATAAAATTCAATCATAATAAAAAAGAATAATAATCATTACAAAAAATCTTTAATAATGATGATAATATTACCAAAAAAAATAAGATAAATAGAAATGAAAGAAAATAAATTGATGATGACGATAAAAAAAGATTCAAGAAAATCCTCGTCAATAACAGTGATAATATTAACAATGAAGTTAAGATAAATAGAGACAAATGAAAGAAAATAAATTGATGATGACGATAAATAAAGATTCAAGAAAATCCTCGTCAATAACAATAATAATATACTAACAATAAAAATAGCAAAATGAAAAAAATAGATATATAAAAGGAAAAGCAGAACAAATAACCAAAGAATTAAGGATAAGAAAAGACTAGGTAGATAGAATTTGATAAATAGATAAAGAACTTAAAGTTATAGAGGATAGGAGAATGAAAAGCTAGAGGATTACTAATTTATAAATATTATAGGGAGTTTGGAGTTTGACTGCAGAGATATTTATTTGTATTTTATTAGCAAGTGATTGAAAAGCTTGACTTTGAAGTCAGAGATTGAGTTTAGAGATTTTAAATCAGGGGAAATTGTTCCATGCGCTTATACTTTGGTATTTAATGGATTTATTTCCATAACATGTCGACAGTTTAAACATTTATTATGAAAATTGTTGAACGATACTGGAAGGTTATGGTGATGGTAATTCCAGACAAATTGACAGTTAAGGAATATAACAAGGTCACTTAATTTTAGTATATTGTAAATACAGTACAACACACTAGATTTAAAGTTATTAGATTGAAAATATATTATTTTTAAGGCTTTATTTTGGAGATGGAAGCTTTGAGAAATTGTGTTTCTGGGATTGTCCCCATAATTGACGTATATATTAAGCAAAGTTAAAATTAAAATTATTTTAAAATACAAAATGATTTTGAAGTTTTGTAAAGATTATATACAAACATATTTAACGTAACAGTATTATAGACTTTTACAAAAGAAAAGATTTTTAGAAAGTTAAAATTTAATAAAGCATCAACAAAAAAAAAACATCACCGGGAGAATAATTTGTTGCGTGTGTATGGTGATTGAGACACTTATGTTATTAATGTGCTCAAGTAAATAATCCTAATAAGCTGCGGATGGTCTGAAAAAAAAGTTATCTGAAACTTAATAAACAAAAAACTATATTAAATAAATAAAAAAGTCCTGCTGCTGCCGTGGAGGCAAAAAAAAAAAAAAAAAAAAAAGCCCGTAGCTAGAAAAAAAAATTTTAAACTGTCTTTTGACAATGAAAAGCTTTTTTTGCTACATTTATTTTTTTATTATAAATAATATCTTAATATGTTTATTACGTATTTCGAGAAAAAAAAGGTTTAAAAAAATTATCAAAAATTAACTCTTTGTTAAACGTTTTTTGAAATTTAATGAATTTTTTCAGGACTCTTTGAAAATATGTATTCAATGACGTTTGTAGACTTAAACTAACTTATTTTGTAAAAAAGTCAAAAATGATATTTTTAACCTTAATGCTTTTTGAAAAACGGCTACAGTATGGTGATACAACGAATATGTTAAAATAAGATAATTTGACGCAAAATTTAAAAGCTCTTAACAAAAGCCACTAAACCAAAAAAATTAAAAATAACTGCTTAAAAATTTTATTATAGTGAAAATTTTTATTTTAGTTGAATATAGTAATTATAGTTCAAATATATATTATAGCACTTAAAAATTTTATTATAGTGCGTTGCCCAGTCAGGAATTTGATATCATATTGATATCAAAGTGATATCAAACTATGATATATATGATATCATAATATGAGACGTTTATGATATCAAAATAAAATCACTCATTGATATCATTTTGAACTCAAACTCTGATATCATAATATGAGAAGTTTATGATATCAAAATGAAATCACGCATTGATATCATTCTGAACTCAAAACTTGATATCAAAATATGGGAAGTTTACGCAAAACTTGTTATCATAATAATTCCCCTATGATTATTTTATTTAATTATATTTTAATAAAAAAACATTTTATATTTTAACTAATTATATTCTTATCAATAATATTTTATAATAATTTTTAAAAATTTATTTAATAAAGTTAAATTATATCGGATAAATAAACGTTTTTGGTGAAATTTATTTATTTAATTTATTTATTAAGCAACTTAATGCTAGTTTAGTAACTTATACAAAATAAATAATCCCTTTTACAAAACAAATGCTCACTATATAAGTTGGTTATTTTTTAGTGTTTGAAGCAGTATTTTTTTTGAATTTTTTGTAGTCCAGCTGAAAAAATCCACCAGCTATTTCCTGGTATAGTTTCAAACCAAACACAAACAATGACTTCTGTTCTGCTCTATTGCATTGGCTGCTTCTATGAAAATAACTAGCCTGTCTAGTGTAATGTTGATATAACTCGCTATTTATTGAATAGAACGGTTTAAGTATATCATTTACACTCAATGTAACATTGTGAATGAAACAGAGTGGTTTAAAAATTATTCTGTTTTTTACACTGATCCAATCAAGCAAATTCAACATTTCTGTTTTAACCAGAGTTAACCAGTGACATTTTAATATAATTCTCATTGCTTTGTTTTGAAGTTTTTCTAGGATATTTAAGTTATTTGTGTTGACATCAAGAAAAATAGAAGCACAGTATTTATAGTGGGGAGCAATTATAGTTTGAAAGATTATCTTTTTGATCCAATGAGTTAGGTATTTGCTTATTCTACCAAGATATCCAGTTTTCTTTGCAATTTTATTAGAGATATATTTGATATGTTCAGTAAAATTAAGTTGGTAATCAATAATAATCCCTAGATATTCACGCTATCACTAAATTCAATGACCACATCATCCAATATCACTTTTATGTTATTGTTATGATTTATTAAACTATTTTTTCTTTTTTTTGAATTATCAATAAGCATTGCCATAGATTTAAGAGTATTTAATTTAGGTCTGTTATTACTTAGCCATTTACAAAGTATTTTTAAGTCTTGATTTAATTAAAAAATAGTTTCTTCGAAGTTTGTGCCCTCAATACAAACGAATGTATCATCAGCAAACAAATTTACAAAAGAATACTCAATTTTTAATGCAATATCGTTCATGTAAATAATAAACAAAAGAGGTCCAAGTACACTACCCTGTGGAACCCCTATATCACAAACTAGTTCGCCAGATTCTTCACCTTTTATTTTGACTACTTGAGTTCTCATCGAAAGATAGTCTGCAATCCAATTGAGAATTGTACCTTTAACTTTACAACCTAGTAACTTTTGTATAAGAATCTTTCTATTAACTGTTTCAAATGCCCTTTTAAGATCTAGCATTACTGTTACAACAAATTTATTGTTGTTCAAAGATGTTCTCCATTTAGAAAGTAGTAGTTGAATAGCTGATTCAGTTGATCTATTTTTTCTGAAACCAATTTGATTATTATAAAAAATATTATTACTTTCAAAATAACTTGACAACTGCTTGTGAACAGCAATTTCTAATATTTTTTCATAAGTAGGAAGCATATTAATTGGCCTTAAGTCTTTAAGTAACTTTGGCGACATTAACTTTGGAACTGAAATGATTGTTGACTTTTTCCATTTCGAAGGAACTTTCCTATTTTTTTAACGATAAATTAATAATTTTTAATAGAATACTTGAAAATGATGAGTATAATTCTTTGAATATAATAACATTTAAGCCCTAACACATTGAATTCTTGTTTTGTAATTGATTTACTATATCATTTAAGTCTTGCATAGTTAAAGGAGTAAATTCACAAAAACAAGAAATATTATCATTTAGCGATAAATTTTCCATAGCATAATAACTCGTATCACTTTGAATTGATGTTTCAATATCTATGATACTTTGGATTAAAAATTAATTATATTTATCTGGAATGGATTTTTTTGTGTCATCTCTTTGAAAACTTCTGATAATATTTTCTTCATCAAATTTAATATCATCCATTATATTTGATTTAATTAATGGTTTGACAGATGTTAGATATTTCAACGAATTCTACATAGCTTTAGGATCATTTTTGACTGAATCAATTTTTATTTTGTAGTAATCAGCTTTTAGTTTTCTTAATTGTGATGTTTTTTTATTTCTTATTTTTTTAATTTTGTTATATTGTATTTTACATTTGCTTTCACTACAACCATGGTATTTAAACTAAACATATGTTTTCCATTCTTGATTATATTCTTTTACTGTATCGGTGTATTTAGAAATTGATAGACGTCATATTATATATATTTGAATATAAATTCAATATAATATTGCATAACGCTTCGAAAAAAAGTCAATATTTAGTCATTTTTTTTGAAAAAAATAATAGGCAATAAATATTCAGGTAAAGCCTTAACAAAGAGAAATACAGAAAATTTTACAAATTTGTAGATCGATCTTTGACAAATATATATTCAGAGAGATTGAGAAATGGGCTCGGCTATAGCATTGCTTCAATTTATAATTGGGTTTTCGACAGATATACAGACTTGATCTATAAGTCACTTTTTGAATGTTGCATTCTACCTCTTTTCCAAATGAAATTTAGATTTATTTATTGTCTGAAACCAATCTTGCGAGCTGAAAATAATAAACAAAAATATTAGCCACCAACAAAAATGTAAATTGTTGCCTAAATATTATTAAAATAAAAAGGATTTTTACCTTATCAACAAATCTGTCTTATATAAAGTTTGTAATTTTCTTTCTCATAAGAGTTAATTATTGCCATCACACAAGCTTTATTGCTTTGCAATTCAAGTTGCAGTTATAAACCTAGAAAACCTAAAAAATTAATAAATAAATAAACATTATACCTCAGACTTATCCAAAAGCATTGAAGAATGTTGCAAAATTAGTTTAGTTTGTATAAGTTTACAGTAAAAGTTGAAAACTAGGCCTACCTTAGTATTCAAAAAATACAAATAAGCAGTCTTCGAAAGTTTCTAAAAGATGTTATATAATTTAACAAACAAATCATTTGATAATAAACAAATCATTTGAACTTTTTTGAATTTTTTTCAAAAAATTCAAAAAGTTCAAATGATTTGTTATTTTAAAATATAAATATACAATTAGCAACAGTAAATAAAGCTTGTGGGTCCAATGAAGTAAATATAAATCAACTTTGTTCTGAAAATTTATCAGTACTAAGTGGTACTATATAATTGACAGTGCTGCCAATTTTATAGCAACAACGTTTAACAAATAATGATCTTCCTAAACTCTTAAAAAAAAAGCACAGACTCTTAATAGTACATGTGATTGTATCACAACATAAATAAATAACACATTTGCCTATGTATATATTTATTTAACTTAGTTGACTGTAAATATTTTTAAATTTATTATTTTGGTATTGTATATTACAATTTTACCTGACATTAGCCATTGTCATGATTTCATTGAACTTACGATTTCATAAAGCATCGTATCTTGAAATACACTGCAATTATAATCTAAAAAATTTTTTAAATATTGATTAATATTAAAATATTATTTTTTCAATATATACAGCCAGTGGCGGATTGAGGTTTAGTGTCACGGGGGGGCCAAGTCAATGACTAGGGGCGACCGGGGTTGGGTTTGGTACTTTAAACACCAGAAATTATTTTCCTGAGGATTGCACTTATGACTAAAACACTTTGTAAGTGGTTTTACGTGACTTTTATCATACATATTACATACATATAAGACACTAAATAACCTAATTTTTTCTGAGTTTCCTACGTTAATTTTAGTAAACGATTATCTTTTAAAAAATAAGAAACATTTGATATTACTGAAATAGTTCAGTAATTTAAAAATATATTTAATAGACATATTAAATATATTTTTTAATATGAAAAGTTAGCATCTAGAAAAAAAAGTTCCCTTTTTAGATAGTTTACACAACTTTTTTTCTGCGAGATTTCATAAAAGCAAAACGGTTAATCGAGAAGTTAAATTCAATGATTTCAGCAAGCTCTCGTTCAATAGAAATTAATGCTAATCTAGAAAGACGTTCGTTTGTCATAGTTGATCTGAGATAATTTTTTATCATCTTTAGTTTACTGAAACTTCTTTCAGCATTAGCAGATGTAACAGGAAGAGTCAAGTAGATTTTGTAAAGAATAGACAAGTTAGGAAGGCCGGGTGCCATCTGTTTCTCAATCAAGAATTGAAGTACATCTTTCATTTGTAGGTCAGTTGTCAGTGATGGGGATATCGATGCATACACATCTTTGAAATTTTCATACTCTACGATTGCTTCTTCAGTGTTTACGTCGTTACAATAAATTTGACATAAGTTTTTAAATGAATTTATAGTTTTTATTGAATTTACATTGCTTCGATGGTCACTAAATTTAAAACATGAGCACAACAATGAACATAGATGGCATTTGGTTAACGCGCTTTTATCCGAGTTTGAAGACCACTTTTAATTCCAGACATTATAGAAGCACCATCATATGCTTGTCCTCTACAGAGTTTAATATCAATGTTTCGTTTTTCAAGCTCAGATAAAATTAACTCAGCAAATGCTTCAGCGTTGCTGTTTTTAAAGTATAGAAGCCTGTGAATCTTTCCACAACATCACCAGATTTTAAAACCATTCGTAACGAAACTGACATCTGATCAATTTTGGAAATATCAATAGTTGAATCAATAATTAGAGAAAAAAACTGGGCTAATTTAACTTCTTTGTTGATTGTAAATGAAATTTCAGAAGCAAGCGATTGAATTAAATCATTTTGTACATCATGACTTAAATACCGTTGATTTCTCTTTTCATACCTAAGATGATTGTCCAAAGTAAGATCATATTTGGATAATAGAGTTAACAGTTCAAGAAAATTGCCAGCCTTTTTAGCTGTACCTTTACTACCCATTTTGCAATGTTGATGTTCTCTCTGTCCTCTAAATGATAAACTTTGCTAAGAACAACGTTACGTCTATCATTTGTTTCAAAACTTCTCTATTCTTTTCTACTTGGCGACACTCTTGGCTAATTAAACCAGATATAACAGTTTTATCATTTGAAATACGATATTTAGTAAGCAAATATTGGCGTATTGCATTTTGATGCTGGTGAGAAGTTTTGTGTTTAACAATTTTTTTATCAGTTGGAAATTGGAAAGATTTCTGTAGACCTGGCTGACATGGTCCTATTTCACATAACTTCCTTATCAGTTTTGCACTCAAACTCATATTATTATATAGTCCGGGATATGAAGGGAAGTCCGATTGAGGAAGAAGCGGTTTTTGAACAGTTGTAATTAGTACCGGGATATATGGGGTAAATTATTTTTCATCAAATGCTTCATTTTTAGAATTAGTAGACCTGATACCATTATCGTTTGTCTGCTTGAAGTAGTGTTGAAATCTTTCAGCAGGCGTATCAGTTTCACGACTTTCTGAATGGACACTTTCAGAAAGGTGTTGATCTTCAGACACAAGCGTATTTACAGAAGAAGTTGTAATTGACTGAGTATCCGACAATTTGGTTAAATATGATGTTAGTTTGTGACAATTGCTTGCATCCATGTTCAAACGAACCTTCTTAGCTAACTTACGGATAGCTGCTCCACTTAACTTTCGTTTTTTGTTTTCATTACTTGGTTCATGATCGATATCATCTATAGTTGTTAACATAACAATATTATAGCAAAGATTTACGACTATTGCTAAACTGTTTTTCCAACTCAATATAATCGATCTCTCATATATACTACGTAATAAACATTTTAGCAACTCTTACAAACAGTACACAGCAAAATCCAAGATTCTTGTTTTAAGCAAAAAAAGTCTTAAAACAAGAAAAAAATGACTTGTCCGTCACGTAAGAATATTTTTTCTTGTATATTTATTCTTAAAAAAAGAATAGTATTTTTATTCTTAAAAAAAGAATTTTTTTTCTTGTTTTAAGAACTTTTATTCTTAAAACAAGAATTTTTATTCTTAATATAAGAACTTTTTTTCTTGTTTCAAGAATTTTTATTCTTAATATAAAAATTTCTTTTTCTTGTTTTAAGAACTTTTATTCTTAATATAAGAATTTTTTTTTTGTTTTAAGAATTTTTATTCTTAACATAAGAATTTTTATTCTTAACATAAGAATTTTTATTCTTAACATAAGAATTTTTTTCTTGTTTTAAGAATTTTTATTCCTAAAACAAGAACTTTTTTTCTTATTTCAAGAACTTATATTCTTAAAATTATGTATTTTTTTCTTGTTTCGAGAATTTATATTCTTTTAAAAAAATCATTTTTTACTTGTTTCAATGTTATTTTTATTTAAAATAAGATTCTATTTTTTTTTCAATAATATTTTCCCTGAATAATAAAACAATATTACAAAAGTACTTTTTCTATGGAAAAAATGAAACATTATTTTGAAATTAGGATGATATATAATAAGAATATACAAAAAGCATTTATACATTTAAACAACAAATCTAATCGTTGAAATTACAAAATAATGTTTGGAATGTTTTATTATTGTTCATGCTTGTAGCGGCAATACTCCTCCTATGTCCAAGAAAAGTGTACTCCAATAAGTTCCATCACGAAGTCAGAAAATGAAAAACTTCATAAAATAATCTTTTGCCACACATAATAATCACTTCGTCTCCATCGTCTGTTACGTACAGATAAGGATTTTTTATACCTGAAAATAAATTTTACAAATTCAAAATTTAACAATAATATCTTTTCATATCTTAAGATGTATATTATATGTATATATATATATATATATATATATATATATATATATATATATATATATATATATATATATATATATATATATATATATATATATATGTATATATATATATATATATATATATATTATATATATATATATATATATATATATATATATATATATATATATATATATATATATATATATATATATATATATATATATATATTATTATTATTATTATTATTATTATTATATTGCAGCAAGTACTTTATTAAGTGTTTAACTTTACTATTTAAAAACAAATTCCTTATTCCTTAATTATTAAATGATTTCAATACATTACTTTACCTAACTCTAAACCTAACCTAGCAAAAATATAAAAATGCCTGAGGTTGGCAATTTTTTGCTGACCTTGTTTTTATCTTTTATAGTAAAACCTTTGTAAAAATGGATTTATGTTTGCCGATTGTAATCTGATGCCAACATAAAACAGTTTAAAGTCGACAATTTATTACTCATTTTAGTTTGACTAATTTTGAGGCTTGTGTATGCATGCATACCTACCTGTATTTGGGTGGCAGTGGACGAGGAACTGCCAACTTGTGTATTCCATAATGCAAAAGTGTATCAATGTCTTCAATCTTGCTGAGTCAACTGTGACAGAAGACTTTAATACATGAGCTATGTCGCCAACAATCTGAATTAAATAATAATAATAAAAAAAACATACAACTTTAAAAAGCAGAGAAAACTTATAGAATAACCCATTAGAGGACATAGCAGTTTTGAAAATACCTTCTCATTTAAAAAAGGTTTATGATTTTCAAATACTATTTCATTTTATCCAATAAATATATGAAATCACAAATGAAAAAAAAAAAAATCTTACCAATAGCACATTAGGGAAACATTGATATTTCTCTAAAAATGCTGCAACTCTCTTAATTGGAAATTTATTTACCCAGGTTATTAAATTAAAGTTCTATACTTAGATCAATTAAAATGCACCAGAACAAAGTTCTAGTGCATTTTAATTTATCATGTTATAAAAATAAGGATAAAAAATGTAAAAAATTAAAATTAATTAATAATACTAAATTTACAATTTGAAAAGTATAGTTTTCTTTACTTGCTTTTCTTTGCATGTATTTGGAAACTTGCAATTGTTTAAAAGAAAACACACACATATATGTCATATATGTGTATGTGTGCAACATAAACATGGATATTTAGAAATAGTACTAATACTAATCTTAAGTAAAATCCAAATTTTATAATAATAGCAATAACAATATTAAAACAATTATAACTAGGTTAACAATTATATTTATATTATTATAATAATAACAATAATAATAGTAACAATAATATTAATAAATATTAAATTTAATATTAAACAAAAACAATAAGTAATAATGATATGAATAGAAGTAAAATAATGTTGATATTTATATTACTTATAATCATACCAAGAGCAATAATAATGACCAACAATGAGCCCAACATTTTACGAACAGTAATTACATTTCTCCAAAATAAAAAGACATAAAGATGAGTTTTAGTAGTAAAGTTTAGTGATATAAAGTGAATATAAAAAGTAAATTATTCTATGAATAAAAAATGATAAATTATTTCCTACACATTTCGTCAAATACCACTCCCTTTACAGGAAAACATGAGCAATATTTAACACCAGAACTTATTGAGGCGGTCAAAGCTAAACGCACTTTTTGGGCCAAGTACATTAATGCAGGTCAAGATAGGCACAAATTTCTCAAAGTATCGCATTGCTCTGCTTGCAAAAAAGTTTAAAAAAATGGTCAAAGCTGGTAGGCAGAAATACGAAGAACTACTCGTCAGGGATTCCTAAAGCAACCCTAAACGCATACATGCGTATATAAGAAGCAAGCAGAGCGTCAGTAACAACATTACATCGCTTGAAACAGTCAATAGCAACATCACAACCGATACCGGTGATATATGCGTATCGTTAAATAACTATTTTCAATCAATCTTTGTTTTAGATCCCGAAGGTTCAATGTCAGGCTTTGAAAGTTGTACAGAAGTAGTTTGTGTCATCGATCCAGCAATTTTCTCTCATCCACGGGTCCTTAGTAAATGTTCAGCTACCTTTGCCAAGCCTCTTTCGCTTATCTATAAATGCTCGTTTGCAACTGGTTTAGTCCCTGACTTGTGGAAAAAGTTGAATAAAACACCTATTTTCAAGAAGAGGAGTAGGCTAAAAGCATCCAACTTACGGCCAGTCTCGCTCACTACCATACCTTGCAAAATTATGGAAAGTATTTTACAAAAAAGAATAATGGAACACTGCGTTGCTAATGGTCTAATTTCTCCAAACCAGTATGGCTTGGTTCATCGTAAGGGATGCGTATCAAACCTTTAAGAAACTCGGGACGTCATGACGGAAGCAACTCACTGCAGACACGCAGTAGACGTCATTGACACAGACTTTGCAAAGGCGTACGACAAAGTACCACATAAACGCCTCCTTCATAAGCTGAGAGGGTGCGGTATTCAAGGCGCTCTCGTTGACTGGATTGCAGCTTAGCTAAACAATCAATGTCAACGAGTGGTTATAAACAGCATTACTTCTGAATGGAAAGCAGTCACTAGTGGAGTGCCCCAAGGCTCGGTCTTGGACCCATTGCTATTTGTAATCTTTGTAAACAACCTGCCGGACAGAATTACTCATCATATGAAATTTCAACGTTGAGAAATGCAAAGTAATGCATAATGGGCGCGGATGTAACAATTCGACGTACATATACTCAATGTCTAATGTCGACGGCACCCGTCGTCCTCTCGAAAAAATCGCAGTCGAAAGAGACCTTAGTGTGATGGTCTTAAATGATCTTAAAGTCAGACCGCAAATAGAGTCATCCGCATCAGCTCGTTTAACAACTCTTGAAGAACGCCGCAAAAGAGCAGATTTTATCGAGCAATTAAAAATCACTTGTAAACACGAGCATGTCAGTTTTGTCGTCCCGCAAAAATTTTCAAAAAGTGAAGATAAGTATATTCTAAGAGGCCATAACCATAAACTAAAACTTCAGATGGTAAAAAACTGTGAGGAGCGATATAACTTTTTTTTGAAGAGAGTTGTTGCCCCATGGAATGCACTTTCGCAAGAAGCAGTGAACGCTCAATCCATCAACG